AGATGTTGTGGATGTCCGTTCCTGTAAGTGTTCAGGGTCAGGTTGCATGGAGCTTGGAGCAACCTGGTCTAGTGAAAGATGTCCCTGCTTTCATGGCAGGAGGGCTGGACTAGATGGTTTTTAAGGTCCCTTCCAACCCAAACCATTCTATGATTCTATTGGCATGATAAAGTGGCAGGAAATTTGCCAGCAGGGTGTCAGTTCATGAATGGTAACAATCACAATAGTCATATTGGCAATTTGAAGGTTATCTCATTCTGAAATTAAGTGCATATGAAGTAGATTGAGAGAATTTACCCTGCAGTAAATGCCAAAGCACTAGGAGATGAAGTCCTTCAAAGCACAGAACTCTTCTTTAAGCTATCCGTAGGCCTGCTGACATAAAACTGCCACACAGCTCCTTCAAAATCATCTTCTGCTCAGAAGTGACTAACAATATTTCCAAAACAGCAATCTGTCACTTCCTTAAGCTCCAGTGATACCACACTAGTTTAATGGGCCACGTAATTTTCCTCAATCCCTGAGAGTATTGCTGAGTATGTCTTTATACAAGACAGGTTGTTCTCTGGAGCTAAAAGAGCTTTGGGAATGAAATGTGTTCTAGAAAAAAAAAGGAAACAAAATTATTGCTATGACTTTGCTATCATCAAACCATTGCAAATAGGTTTTAATGAGCTATCTACCCTGTTTTCCATTCCTGAAACATACCTGTCAAAAAAATTCAATTCCCTTTCTCAAGGGAATTTGTCAAGAGTGAGTAATAGGAAATAATGTATTTTGCTGGCAGGCCCTATATATGTGTCCTTTGAATCACATAATGTATAATGCATCATTAAAAAACTCTTAAGTGAGTAAATACTTACAAGTTGGAGAGCTCACTGCATAAGTCTATAAATACAGTTTACTCAATTAAAAACCATGCAGTGATATTCTTAGACAACAGCTAGACAGCTAGATCAGGAAGTCATAGTAGCATCCTTTTCTAAAATCATACCATTGCTGCTAAGTATTCTGATCTCAACTAAGCTGATTTAGCTGGAGGAGTTGGTGGAGAGGGGGTGGTGTAGTTGACATTGAAAATCCTCAGAAGAGGCAAGACAGATACAAAGAACTACAGTTTGTATTTTTGTGTTTATAGAGATACCCCATTCTCTGTAGCCTATTTGCACTGGCCTTACATGGGAAGAAAGTCTTGTTTCTCGGCCTGCATGTGCTTCCTGTGGAAGACCTGCCAGACCTTTCTGATCTTACATGAGTGATTGTGTTTTCAGATTATTTAATGAGAATCAGGCATAGGAAGCATTGCCAAACATCCCCAGGTAGCTTACTTCCCTTCTGAGAGGAGAATAAAGCCTGATGTGTATTTCTGCGAAAAATAATTGCAGGTCAGAGATTTTGCTCCCAGGTGGCAGACTTTGCCTGGAAGATTCTTGGCACCAGAGGTTCAGGGGTCAAATGCTTTGATGTCAGGAGTGAAATGTTCCTTCACAAAGCACTGAGGTCTTAGAATAAGCAGATGGTTTCATGCGGAAACTGCCTAATCATAAAATGATCTCACAGGTGACTTGTACCTAATTTCTCAAAAGCAAGAGTAAGAACACTTTAGGAGCTGTAGTTACAGGTATGGGCTGACATCCCATTGACTAGTTTTTCAGTGAATAAATATGCAATATACTACTGATGACAACTTCCTTGAAAGGGAAGATTTACTAGCCTTCTTTCTCGGTGAGGAGCTTATTTTGGTTTATATTGGTAGCCAAGATCCTTAAAGTTTTCATCACAAAATAGGTGCTTCTGCAGCTTGCAGACTTTCTAACTGCAGTAGGGAGGAGGCAGTGAGGTGATGTACAGTGTGTAATTGCCTTAAGCGTTTACAAAGAAAGGAGTAACAAAGAACTCCTGCGCCATGGTGGTTTGTGTGCCTGGAGATGAGAATAGAATTTCTGAGATAGCACTACAGTTCTTCACAAAAACAACTTTCTTCAGTGTTGCCAAGAGCTAAACTAGTGAGTTTAGTCAGAAGCTTAATCAGAAGGCAGCAAGGTTTAACCAGAGCCGTAGGCATTTTCTCTTCTTTAATTAACAGTGAATTGTAGTTTCTCCTCTGTGCATAGGCAGATTTTTTAGCCAACTAGTTTTATGTAGCCTGAATAGTGAGGTTATTGACCTATTTTTAACATCAGATTTATAATCCAAATAATAGTACTCTGTCATAGTACACCTCAGTTTATTGCTGTTGGAGTAACTGGGATCCAGTTGTAACTTCCTGTCTGCAAGATCACTTACCCAAGCATCATACCCACTCAGACACAAGTGTCCTGGGAGGAAATTGAGGGTAGTTTTTCCTTACCATAAACACCAAAAGAGGCATGCATGTGTAGATTTAACTGAGAGAGAGGACATGCATAGTCCTAATTATTTTATCTGATTATTTATTAATTAATTTGCATTAAATTAAGCATTCATTTAAGCTTATGGTGGCAAAGTGCTTTTTTTTTTTTTTTTCTCAGAGAGATAGATGGACTCTTCAGGGTTAACGTGCATGTTGAATATCTGTCTAGCTGGTCTGAGAAGTAATGGGAGTACCCGTCTGTTAATACACTCTAAGGATTTAAGTATGTTTGCATCTTCGCTGAGATCACAACATAGTTCGTGCAGAGGCCTTGTGAAACATCAGTGATGTGTTTTTTTTCTTCCTGGGAGGATTTGTTTTTTAATGGGTAAGTGCTGGAGGCATGCTGCAAGTACAATGGTGTGGGAAACTATGAGGTAACACAGCCAGCTCCCTGATCCTGCTGGGTGATGAGTGGCAAGCTGCTGCTGCAGAGAGAGGACTTGATGGTGCCTTGTCCCTCAAGCCAGTAAGGAATCTCCTCCAGGGCATTCTGGTGTTTCATTGTTGCCATTCAGTTTGTCAAATACATAGCAGATTTAGTGCCTTTTTTTTTTTTTTTTTAGAAAGAGACTCCTTTTTCCACCTACTGGGTTTGGTTTGAAGTGGAAAACACTTTGTATATTTTCTAAAGTCTCTTTGTTTGTAAATAATTTATTTTAAAAATATTTCTTTATTTTTAATTGTTTTTGCACAAATATATACTCTGAACTGTTTATATTTTCATCTTTGAAATATAGTTTGGAGATGCTATGGAATATAATGGATGTTTTCTTAGAAACAGTAATCAGCTCTTTGAAAAGAATACAGCATCAGTGTTAAAAAAGAAAAAAAGTTGATATTTAGCTATTTTGATGTCTTTTACAAGAGGAATAACCACAGATAACTTTACAAATATATCATCCAGATAGGCAATTTATATCTGGCATCTCTGCAGCCCACATTAAACCCCAGTAACAATGCATCAGAGTAAGGTTACAGGAAGATGATATGCCATAGCTGCAAATAATGGTTATCTTTCAAATATTTAAAACGATATTTCAGTATTCTCAATAGTCAGTATGATATTCTAGTGTAGAATTCCATTTTAAAAAGTACATTAAAGTCAAACGAAACGGGAACAGATATAGTAGTTTTCTAAAACTTCGTAATTTGATATACTACAAGTTTCGGGTGAAAGAGGGGATAATGTCAAGTGGAAGTGTTCATCAGACTCCTAGTGGTGCCATGGAAGTTTATGATTCTGTATTGGAAAGCTTCTTTTACATATTATTTATATTAGAAGTATGGGCAATTGACTGTCAGCTTTAGTGGTTTTAAAGATTGCTGGTAAAGTTTTTTGGTGTACTCAAGCCCTGTCAAAGACAGAGGTGATGAAAGATACAATAGGTTTGCATGTTTTGAGAAGAACAGATACTATAAATTTGTATAAAATATTTGATCAGTTGTGAGCACTAAAAACGAAGGCTTGCAAAAAATAACCTATTAATGGGAAATTTGCAAAAAGGGCAGAGTCAGTCACTTAATGGGAAATTCCATAAATCCAGATAGTGATTTAGAAGAGTAAGTAATAAGTGTAAATCCATACAATACCTAGACTGTTTTTTATATGTAATTTAAATAAACATGTATTTATTTGGAGGAAAGTTTTATCTCTAGTGAAAAATGAAACAAGACAGTCAACTTGGTTAAATCACTCCAGATAACATAATTTTCTGCTTCTACGTACAATCCTAAATTCACAAAGAAATCTGTGGGTTTCCAGAGAGATACCATAAATATAAAAGGAATACAGCACTGAAGAGTGGTTTTCCTTTGGTTAATTAGATTTAGCTGTTGAAAAAAAATAATGATAGCTATTATGTTGAGGACTTGATCTCTGCTGTACCTGCCTGTGATGTTTGGTAATGATTGCTTTAAAAAAATAATTGAGATCTAGCAATTTAATTTCAGGATTTACAGTACGCTTGGAAGAAGTCTCCCTCTGCAGATTGCTGCCATGATCAAAGCACGTGTCCTCTTGGACTGTTGATGTGAAAGCCATCTCTTCTGAAACTGGTAAGCAGAATTCTTTGTGCATAGTTTTGGTCTCAAATTTTTATTTTGTGATCTTACTGTCTAGCCATACAGCTGCTCATGTTGTAAGAAAAATCAGTGAGTATCAAAGTATTTATTTCTCTTAAAGTAATGCTCAAGGAAAATGTGCCTTGTCAAGTCCAAGTGCAAAATAAATAGATGTGACAAGGGAAAGGCTGGATGAGAATGTAGTTGCATTATCAGTTGCTTACTGATGACCTGGTATTTTCTCAGTGTTTGAGAGCCTAGGCAGCATTACTCCTGTTTGATCTTCAGTGTTTGTTAGCTTTTATTATGAAGACATATCTGTGGGAGTAAGACAATTCTACAGAGATTTAATGTCAGTCAGATTAAAATCATGCCCACCCTTGTGTTTTTCCCCCCTCTGTTTTTGTTTGTTGTTTTTTTTTTTAGTTGCCTCTGTAACCTAAAGTATCATACACTTTTTAAAAACTCTGGGCTACAGGTTTTGCAGGCAGGATCATCACATGGTGTTACATCCACTTTCTCCGTACTCCGATTGCTGCAAGGGCTAGTCAGAGCTGGGGGAGGCAGCAGAGTCCACATCTTCTGTGTCATGTTCATGTGTGGATACTGGTTGCCCACCTTTAACACGTTTCCACTTCATCCTTCTGTTTTGAAACCATACTTTGACCTGGGTGATAAAAAGCAAATAATTACTCACTGGCTCAGCCTGAGCTGTACAAGCAGATCTGTTCATATGTGTGTGTATCAATAGACAGATGTTGTGTGGAATTCTAGAAGAAAAGGTGAAACGAACCACAAGTTTAAGTAACTAATCTCTGTAACAAAGGCAGGACACTTTTTTCTAAACTGTTCCAGGCAAATGTTTCTGAGACCTGCAGAGGTAGTACAAGTCCTTGGCCTCAAATCTAACTTGTCAACTATGCATGTCAATCCAAGGGCACAGTGCATCTAGTGTCTTTTTAATGTCTAGTCCGACCAGTCTAATGCTTCAGAATTTGTAATTTGCTTCACTTAATTGAGCGATTCCTCTATTGTCCACAAAGCTTTGATATGGGAACTCTGAGATCACAGTGAGAGAGCAGAAGTATCTCTCTCCACAGAACTCTGCATTTTTGTCTTTCCTTGTAACCTCAAAATACTTCCTGAGCCAGGAAGAATGCATGTATCAAACATATTCTAATAATTTCTTGGTAATCACAGTCTAGGGTGATAGCCATGTTCTATCTGTAAGCCTTAACGTATCAGTACATCCTAATGAATGGTCATAAACAACAGCTCAGTTATTCCCAAATGCGTCTTTAGATAAACATAATTACATTTATTAGCTACTTACAGAAATTTGTAACAAATATGTTATAAAAGTATGCGGAGGCTTTGTTTTAAAATACCGCTGTGCCATTGCAAAAGTACAGCCTTGAGTAACATATCTGTTTTTTAGCTTTAGGGAGAGGTGGTGGGGGAGGAAGAAGCTGGGGAGACAGGGATTCAGGAAGTACTTGTCTCTCGGTGAGATCCAGGTTCACAGCTATCTCATATCTCCTGAGCCTTGTCAAGTAGTTATGGTGAGCAAATTCAGCTTCCAGCTCCCGTAGCTGCTCCTTTGTGAAAGCTGTCCTTTCCTTCCGTGATTTGCTGCTTGTTTCTGCCTTGTTACTTGAGTTCTGGTTTTCTAAAAGGGGCAAGCACACACATTGTGCAATTTGCAGTTATGCTGATCTGTGTGAACATGTATATTGCAGAGGTCTGATACAGACTACTAATTGAAGTGTTTAGCAGAAGTTTTAGAAAGTTTGTGTTATTCCCCCTGAAGCTCAGCATGACTTGGCAGTGTTGTCTTGGTTTCAAGGGAGCTGCCACTGTAGAAACTGAAGCCACTTCTGCCAAATTAATCTGGGATAAAAATAGCTAATGCAACTTGAACATATATTTGAGCTCACCACTTAGCCCTGTGTGAAGGACATCCTTTCTAAGGGGCAGTTTCACCAGTCTTCCTTTCCAAAAAACAGTGTAATTAATTTTAAATAGCTAAGTCTTTCTGAGGACAGAGCAGGATGTGTAGCTTGGATTCTGTCATCCAGGCTGTGCGCCACATGGTGTTGTAAAGAGACAGATGGTTATTCGGGCTGAAGGCTTTGTGATGTTCCAAAAGTGGAAATGGGGCCTAGTTGCTCCAAAGTTTTGACAACAGATTGTGGAAGATGGCAGATGTGTGAAAGGACAAATGGGCTTGGAAAGATTTTCCTGCTGTACTGCCAGTGTAAAAAGAAATAAAAAGCCCAAACCTGCTCAGGAATCCCAGGTACATCTGTCTCTCTACCATGAAGCGTGCATACTTCCAGAATACCAACCAGTTTCAGTGTGGTTGAACTGAACAGATGCCTTTTCCCAGGCCTGCAACAAAATGGGTAGGAACCTAAACAATACATGTTTCTATGCTCTAAAGTTTCCAAAGCAAAAACCGTGTCAGGTGCTAATACATGTGTCTGTATGAAGAGGCAACTGGTTCCCTGCAAAGCTGTGTGCCAAATTCAGCAATTGGAGCTTGTCAGAAAAAGTTGGCTTTGCTTTATGCTTGCAACCAGAATAACTGAATCAGAATCTGGTCCCTCACTGGGTTGAGCTGGTCTAATAAGAATACCCAGTAACCAGTGCTTTGGAGGAAGGCATAAGGACTCTTGTACTGTGCAGATACAGGATTCTGGCACCAGAGTGAGCTTGTATTGCTTAGAGAGCAGCTTAGGCACAGAGGTATCGGGGTTGCTACTGCCTGTATATGTAGAATTCTACCTGCTTAATAGATGTTTGTGGAGATCCACAGCCCAGATCAATGTTGCAAACTACTGTCTGCAGTTTTTCCCTCAGTAGAAGTAAAATAAAAACATGAAGCATCTGCAAAATGATACTTCCCCCCCCCCCATGCTAAAGACTTAGAAGGCATATGTATTCCAAGTGTTTAAATCAAGTAGTAAGACACTGATAGGTTTTGCTGTTATGGAACATAAAATTCTGAAAGCTGTCAGGAACATTAGCCAAGTGAAGTGACCTCATAAATAGTGGATTAATTTGGCAGCTGATGATAAAGTAGCCAGGAGTTACTTCAGTGTACACATCATGGAATAATATTCAATGGTGGGTGCATATAGAGGGCTATGCCACATGAAGCTATGCACCTCTTTAACCTGATCAGGGACTTGCCTGATCAGTATTTTGGTTTTCAGTCCTTCTCAGGTTATCTGCTGCTACCTGCTACTATCCACTTTTACCTACTGCTTTTTATGCCACCATAGATTTTTGTGCCAATCATGGAATGGTTTAGGCTGGAGAGACCTTAAAGATCACCCAGTCCCACCCCCTTGCCATGGGCAAGGACACCTCCCACTAGAGCAGGTTACTCCAAGACCCATCCAACGTGCCCTTCAACACTTCCAGGGATGGGGCATCTACAGGTTCACTGGGCAACCTTTTCCAGTGTCTCACCACCCTCACAGGAAAGTGTTTCTTATTAATATATATTCTTAGTCTACCATCTTTCAGCTTAAAAACATCACTGCAGATAGGAATTGCAAGCCTAGAAAATCCTCTTTACAGTTAGTGGCAAGACTGAGAAGGGCAGGAAGGCAGGAATTCAGATCAGCTCTACATATTTTAATACAAAGTTTTCCATAATTCCTCAGTCAAGGACACTTCAGGTTTAATGTTCTTCAGGGAGTCATTACACACTGTTATCACATTCTTACTTTTACTGCATCCTCACTAGCACTCTGTATTGTTTCATTCACATAAAATAAAGCAGTCTGAATTCTATTATGTATTATATTACTATTGTTGGAGATCTGGAGACTTCAAGTGCAGAGTAATGCAAGTACAGTTTAGGACAGGTCAGAGAGAAGCTTTATTTGTAAATGTTAATGGCTGTGGCTTGTGGATCAACAGTAGAAGCAGCTGTGAAAACTAGTTTAACTTCTATCTTCAGGTTGTTTGGTGAGCCTGTTAAGTCAAGACTGAGTATGGCATTGAAATAACTAAAATCTGTAGAGGAAGAGAAGAGGGTGTGCATGTTTATCCACAAGTACTTGTAGCAGATGCCCCTGTTGATCCTGTCGTAACAAAGCCATTCTTTAAATGTGTTTAATATATCTGTGCTTCAAAGAAATTTTCAAAGATTGTCAAGCTTTTTTTATTATTTTTGCTCTATTCTGCTTATCTTTGCTTATTTTAGACTTTTCTCAGAATACTCTGCAAGAGCCGCATTCCAAGATCTTCACTGTGTGCCTTGTAATAACTAGGGTCTACTCAAGAAGCAAAGGATTTTACATGCCCTAGTACAAATCATGCATTCTCTAGAATAGTAGTTTATACAGACAGCAACTGTTGCTAGAAGGTAGAGCGCGCTCTAACTTTCAGTGATGTCATTGCTTGCAGCTTCCCTGTAAGGAGAAGTATATGGGACAGCAGCAGGTATCAAAAGAAAATGTCAAGGGTGCTGAGAATAGAAGGAACATTTGTCTTAAAACAGGGAGATATGCTTAAGAATCAGTCTTTTTAAGAATAAGGATGTTTCCCATATCTGAGTATGCTGAAACCTGTTTACCTATGGCTAGCAAATGCTTTAATAAAAGCATTGTTCACTTTAAATTTTTATTTTTAAAAAATTATTTGCATTTGGGTTTTTGGGAAATGTTTGCCCCAAATATGCTTTTTCAATAGAAATTATCTTATATTCTGCACAGCTGAGTTTTTAAAGAAAAAACAGATAACTGGGAGGAGTAAAGTGGGTTCTGGGCATAAAGAAGTTTGGAATATCAGTTATTTTATGTCTTAACTGGCAGCCAACTCATCTTGGAAGAGAACAGAGATAAGGACTAATTGTGTGACAGGGAGAGTGCAAATACAAGCTTGTTGTTTAAATTGCAAAGTGGAGAAATGAAAGTTGGATGAGAGGTGGCTCTTCTGTAGCCAACCTGTAAAAACTAAAAACAAATAAATATTTTTATCATCTTGTTCTCTACCTATTAAGTGGGGATTCTGAAAAACATTCCCCACTTCATAGCAGTGCTGTGGGGAAAAGCACACTGTAGATTTTGTGTATGAATATTATAGCAAATGAATGCATGTAAGCATCTTAATTTTTAACAGCTTGCTAAGGAGAAAACAATTTAATGCGTATTTCACATATCTGGATTTGAGACAGCAGAAAATCAGGTTATGTAACTATGTAGTTGTAGAATATTGCACTGTAGAAAGAAAGTTTTGCTAGTTAAGATGACCCAGTGAAAACTGTCCACATTTTCTGTGTCGTTGGATGTTGATGGGCAAACTTTTGGTGCCTCCTGTTTTGAGGTAAAAACATTTAGTACTTAGTGAGACCAAAGAGAACTTATATCTAAAGTGAGACTTTGCATCTTGTACCTCTTACCAAGATGTCAAAATCCTATTATAACATTTCCAACAGGCAGCTCAAGATGAGGTATCTTTGCTCTTTGGCTGCCATTCTCCTATACTTGAACAAATGGCAGCTATGCAATATAACTCCACATCCTAGGACTTTCAGCTCAGTGTATACATGACATGTGACTCCTGTTTAGTTACACCAAATGTGCATTATGCTGGTGAGTAAAATGACAAGATCTGTAGGAGTGAAATACAAACACAAGAGGACATCAAAGAGCAAGCTGTTTAGTTTCAGTGTTACTGTATAAACTTCCCTAGTCAAGAATTAAAAAATGTTTTCCTCATCAGCTTTATTTCTTAATTCCTAATGTTACAGGTTCTCTCATTCTATAGCATGTACTACCCCACAACCCTGATTTCATATCACCTACCTGAGTTTTCCTTTCTTCTTTTGGATGGCTTTTTCTCAGTCTCATTTGTAGTATTTACTGGTACCTCATCATCTTCATTCGTACTCACTAGATTTGGGCTGCTGCTATCTGACTCCCCAGAGCCCAAGGCCAGTCCTGGATTTAGTTGTCGTCTGGCCTCAGTTGCTGCAAAATGCCAGTCAGAGTGTTGGAAAGAAGGGTGCTGTTCCACAAATGCCCGCTCCTTGTGTGGGAAGCTGTGGGGAGCAGTCACTGGACAGGGGGTTGAGAAATCAGAGTAAGAAGCAAAATCTGATTTTTGATGGAAGGAGTAGGGTGCTGATGGGTAGTGGTTCAGCCCTGAATCTGAGGTGACATCCACATGGGTGCTCCGCAGGCACCCCCAGAGTGGGGCAGGAGGCTGTGGACTGCGCATGCAGCTGCTGCTGGTGGGATCCATTTGCTTCCAATCCTGTCCACACTTCAGCGTTTGTGACTGATTATAGCTCAGACTTCAAAGTCAGAAGGGAGATCTTCCAAATTTCACAGAACAGGTTTCCTCCCTAAACAATAGTTTGCTTGTGGGTTTTATGCTGTTGTAGATTTCTTACTTTGGAAGCTCTTCTAAACATCTTCATTGTCCCAGCTGGAAAACAGTAACCAGATCTAAGCAGTGGTTGCCCTGAATTGCTTCCCAAGGCCTGAAGCTTGCTTCCCTGTGAAGTGCTGGACATGAGTGAAACACTTTTTAAATACTGTGCTGGGGAGAGAGCGACAAGTTTGCGAAGTGAAATGTGAGAGAGGGGAGGGAGGGGTTAATGTACATACACTCAGTCCTTCCAACCAAAGCAAAGAAGGCAACTATTAATCATCTGAAACCTTATATGCACATCTAATGGGATTTGCAGATGGAGCCTTTTAAAGAAACAATGTCTGTTTTTTTTTTTTTTTAAAAAGGGAAGGAGCAGCACACAAAAAAGGCATTAGTGTTTCCCTCTAACACTATGAAGTTCTTTTTATTGCACTGTTAACAAAATTCCCCAAGTCTTGGATTTGGAAAAAGCCCTAGCATAGAACTCAACAGATGCCAAATTTCAAGAACTGAAGTGGGAAACAAAAGGAAGAAAGGACATCACTGATTATATATAATTTAAGGTCCAATCCTAAGTTTTAAAAAACTTATTAAACCTGGCTGGTGCACACATGTAAAGTTTTAAGTGGTTTTTGTTTTTGTTGGCTTTGTAGCACACTTGCTGAGAGTTGGAGTTTGCTGCCAGTGGCAGATCTGTGCTTTACTTTCCAGGGAATTTTCAATATGCCACTCCTTCCTGCAAGGAAATCTCCCATTTTTATGCTGATGGAAGACATGTTTTTCATCTTTTGTTGAAAGTTTTATAGTTTTTCCTAACAGAAAGCAGATTCTTAGACCCTAGAGCCATCACAGTTGAAGACATTAACAGGGAATCTGTTCTCAATCCCTTTTTCACAGAAGTGTGGCAGCTGGGAATGCCCAAAACCCTGCTAAGCTAGGTTTGTTACTGCAACTTCTCTCAAGGTTGTTTTCCATATTTTAATGACAATTTATGTACGCATGTGTTCCATGTTTCCATAATCGCAAGCATTTCCAATACGTATTCCCCATGGCCTTGCTATATGTGTGTGTGTGTACCTCTTTCTCTTCTGTTTGTGCTGGGTCTTGTGTTCTCTGAAAGACACAGAAATGTAGCAGATGAACATTTTTTTCACAGGGGCTTAAGCAATACCTGTATTTGGCTTCTGTATAATTCAGAATTGTAATATTTCAAGGAATATTTCAAGAAAATAATATTTCAAGGAAAAAAGTGCTTATCCTGATATATCTGTTGGTCCTTAGAGCGTGGCCTTTTCCAAGAAATCAAGTGAATTTAGTCCAGATCTTTCTGAACAAGAATATCAAATTCTGTTTTATCACATGAACTTGGCTTTTTTTTTTTCCAAAATACTAAGTATCTGATACCTAATTAATTCTCTAGAAAGAACTCTTCTAAATATTTACATTTGTTGCAGTGTTGTAATAGAGAATAAATATGAAAACATACCTCCTGTTCACCTGGAGGAAAAACCCCAGACTGCTCTTCTGAAAGGCTAGACTATGATTAATTTATGAATGCTGCGAGTGTTCCAGGCACTGGCAGAGTCTAAGTCAGAGTCCAGAACTTGTTGCAATGCAAGTATTTAATTTATATTCTCTGTGTCTGTTGTTGCATGTGTAGCACCTACTCACTTCAGTCACATGGGTTATTAGGGGTTTGTACGAATTCGGGACTAGGTCTGCAAGTTGATCTAGCTGATGAGACAAACATTTAAGTCCTTGCATGTATACTCAAGGGAATAGAGGGGATATACTCAAGGATATACTCAAGGGTATACTCAAGGATAGAGGGGAAAGGAGGATTATTGGTTAGTCTGCTATATCCTTCAACCAAGAGTGGCTTTCGGCTCCCGTTCAGGAATCCCCAGGCCTGAGCAGAGGTCTGTCTGTAGTGCATAGCTCAGTTGCTGCACATCACTTTGCATTTGAGTTAAGCTACTTGGACCCTGTTTTCCCAATGGATATACCTCACTGTTATTCCTCCAACTTCAGATGTGGGAAAAGATGGCATACCCTTCCCAAATGTGAGATCCGTCAGGTCTTGCGTTGCTTCAGCACCCTCTGCAGCTGGTGCTGTCACTCATCTGCTCAGCAGGGGCCTGTTTGACCTCTGCATCTTCCTGACACTTCATTCCTGAAAGAAGAAAGAATAACAATCCTCCCATCTTGCTAAATCCCATTTGTTGATTGAACCAGCCACCTTTAGCCTTCATAAAGTCAACATCTCTTCAGTCAGGCACCATGTTGGGTAGAAAAAAATGGCATGGATGGAGATCAGGTTTTGTAACAAATGCTTCCATAACAAGCTGAGGGCTGGAAAGCAGGATTTTATCTTTGAGCTTTGTATCAGTTCATTCTGTGACTCCCCCAGGAAATAATTTCTCAGCCATCTCACAGACCATGAAGCCTGGTCTATGTGCATGGAAAAAATGGGTGGTAAGTAAGATAGTAAACATACAGAGAGTGAAGCAGGAGAGAGAGGAGGGGAGAATTAAGCACTTGTGAGTTTTGCTGAATCTGAACCACTACAGAAGGCTGTGGAGGGTAGAAGACAGAACCAGCAAGTGCCTGTGAAGAAAAGGAGAAAGGGCTAAAACAGCAATGAGAGTTAGAAAGGAAATGCCAAGCCCAAATATTTAGGCCTATCAGTCATTTTAATAATTTTCTCAGTCATTCTGAAGGAATAAAAGACCAGAAAAAGCATAAAACTTAGACTAATAGAGGCAGCGTACCTAGAAAAATAACCAATGAAATTTTAAAGAGCTATATTAAAAGACATTAGATACTGGACAAAACGTCTGGAAACATTAGCTTGCATTTTGCTGTAATGCCATACGGACAAATTAGTGCAGTTTAAAAGGCTTGTATTTGCAGGAAATCAGTATGAGTTTCTTGATAGTTTGGGGAAGGAGATAGAGAGATTGAGAAAGTCTGCATTCTTTCTTAAAAAAACCCAACAAACAAAACCCAAGCTGCTATTTTGTAACAGTGATATCATGGTTCTACAATGTATTTATCTCTCTTTTCCCCAAACCTCTAGGAACAGAGTTTCAGTCAGTTTGTAGGGAGCATTCAAGCAGAAATTGTATGTAATTTCAGATAAATAATGTTATGGAGAGAAGATGCCAAATAACCAGCTTCTCAGTCTGAAGTAGGATAATGAGTATCCTAGGTTATGTGGATGATCAGTGCTTTTCACCCTAAAGAGTTTCGCCAAAAGTTTGGTATGCTTAAAAAATTATAATGATCTTATCTGATTTTGGCCATATTTTAATAATAAAATAATTTTTATGCTTTAGCTGCAAAACTGAGAACAGTCCAGTTGAATGAGGGTTTATAAGTATAAAATGATATAAAAGTTTTTGTAAGCAAAATGTGGACTACAATTTTTGAGTCTGTTAATCTAGATTAATGTTGTGGCTGCATCTTTGAGAGATACAGACAACCTAATGATGAGAATATTGAATCAAGGTAATCATTTGCTTCTGAGACATTAATTTAACTTACCACAGAATCAGGTACAACTCTATTCAGTGTATACATTTCATTCTACTGTGGATGGTTCCTTTGCTATACAAATGTGGTATACTTCAGAGCTGTGTCTCAAGACTGATGTTATTAATATACTGCAGTTCATATTGATTTAATCATTTGAGGTTTTCTTCACATCTTATTTCACCTGTTACATTCCAAACAATTAATTAAAGAAGGGGAAAACGATTGGCTGTTGTTTCTGTGTTAGTTTGGGAGTTTTGTTTGGCTAGTTTTCCTTCCTATTGCTTTATTCAAAATTGATGCTCTAGCAATCATGGGAAGTGGCCATAGTATAACATTTGGGAATCTTTCACCACCAATGGCTGGTTGAACCCATTCTATGCCATTTAATTTCTTTCCAACTCAGATGATGTGTGCCAGGTTAGGATTGTTGACATGTAGTCTAGCTGTTTTGACTGTAGGACTGGCAGAGTCTCAATAAAATTAGCTGAACATAAATTGCACAGAATGCATTTTTTCCTATTTGTTCATATCCACAGCAGCTAAAGTAAGGACCGAAGAGTTATATTTGCTACATATTTACCCTTTATTGTGATGAATTATTTGCAAATTGAATTACATTCTCTTCGTAATGTGCTTGTAATTTTCACAGTTCCAAATAGACTTGTGATTTTTCTGATTGATTTGTCCTTTCCTTTTCTACTTGTAAATATTCACATTTGTCAACCTCTGTACTTAATTTTCTACATATTAAAGTACATGCAATAACATGCTCGCTTTGAATACGTAAGTACTTTAAAATACCTTGCTTTTCTCCTCCATTTGTATCTCTTCATCCTCTGCTGCTCTAGTTCAGTTCATCTATCCAGTTGTTTTGCAGTCTTCAACTTCTATCCTTCTGCTGCTGCTTGAATTTTTAATTTTAACTATCTCAGTTTCCCTCTAAACTTTTAAAGGAATCTTTATGATCTTAGCAGTGTGATTCACTTGTAAGATTGGAGGGTGCTAGTATAGTCTTCATTAGTTGGCAGGATCTGTCCAAATCACTGAGCAGAGCTATTAAGGCTTTTTTTCCTTCCACAGTCTCATCTGATGCTTTTACTGAGATTCGTTTTCTGACTTGCTCTGAAGATGGCGAGTTGGCATCACTACCACAAGAATTTCTAATTTAATGATAATGTTTCTCTTAGCACTAAGTTAATATTTCCGGTATTCATTAAATTTGATGGCTTCACAGTAGCAAAAAAACCTGCTTCAGGTACAGGAAACATCAAGATGTGTTGAGAGACACTTACACGATAATTTATTTTGGGACAGAGAGTAGTAGAAGCAAA